CATGGCTGTTAGTACATCCGTCCCACCAAATCCACAGGGGACTGACTCCAGGGCTCCCTCAGAGACTAAAATCTGTTGGATGCTCAAGTCCCTTATATAAAAAGGCTTAGTGTTTGCACAGCCTCCTGAATACTTCATATCATCTCTACCCTCCCACTGCCATCACATCGATTTCGACTCCAAGCGACCCTCTAGCAGAGTAGATGTCATGGGCATGCTGCAAAAAGTAGATTTTTAAAATATAAGGCATGGGTTATTAATATATTACATTAGTCAAAAATAATAAAAGTAAAGATCTGTAAAGATGATTTTTTTAAAAGGACATAGTGAGCTACACAAATGTTTGATTACAACCAATTAACAAGATACATAAACAATACATGCAAAGTTTTTCTATTTGATACTCCAAACAATTATATGAAGGACCTTTAAAACATTTGTGGAGAAATTCTATTGGCTTTTTTATTCTTTATTTTTATGATTTAAGGAGAACATTTATGATTTCTTCAACAGGACAAGAAAGACAAAAAAAAACATACCATTCAGATTAGAGAGGTCATTTGCATGAGGTCATAATGGCATCCAAGGGTTTACAGAGAACTGATGGCTTAAATAGGACATAGAAAACTGTCACAGATGCATGACCCATGGCAGATCAACACTTCACAGTGCAGGGAGGACTACAGAAAGGGGAATGGGGCCATGATTGGGACATATATAATAATGTATATGCTAGATAGAAGAGATTGCAAGATTGGTTCAGGGCCCTCCAACCAAGGCAGTGGGGCATGGCTCCTAACTATTTGACCCCACTATCCCAAACACCATCCAGGGCAGACCCAGGAGAGCCCCCTAAGGGAGGATTGCCCCATCCTGGAGTGGTTAGGGGAGTGGTGGCTATCTACTTTCTTCTCCTTTTTTAAAAAGACCTTTTTATTGGGGGCTCATACAACTCTTACCACAATCTATACATATATCAATTGTGTCAAGCATGTTTGTGCATTCGTTGCCCTCATCATTCTCAAAACATTTGCTCTCCACTTAAGCCCTTGGCATCAGCTCATTTTCCCCCCTCCCTTCCCTCATGAGCCCTTGATAATTTATAAATTATTATTTTGTCATATCTTACACTGTCTGACGTCTCCCTTCACCCACTTTTCTGTTGCCCATCCCCCAGGAAGGAGGTTATATGTAGATTCCTGTAATCGGTTCCCCCTTTCTACCCTACCCTCCTGGTATCACCACTTTCACCACTGGTCCTGAAGGGTCATCCATCCTGGACTCCCTATGTTTTCAGTTGCTATCTGTACCAGTGTACATCCTCTGGTCTAGCCAGATTTGTAAGGTAGAATTGGGATGATGATAGTGGGGGTGAGGAAGCATTTAGGAACTAGAGGAAAGTTGTATGTTTCATCGTTGCTACACTGCACCCTGACTGGCTCGTCTCCTCCCCAAGACCCTTCCATAAGGGGATGTCCAGTTGCCTACAGATGGGCTTTGGGTCTCCACTCCGCACTCCCCCCCTCATTCACTATGGTAATATTTTTTTGTTCTGATGATGCCTGATACCTGATCCCTTCGACACCTCATGATCGCACAGGCTGGTGTGCTTCTTCCATGTGGACTTTATTACTTCTGAGCCAGATGGCCGCTGCAGGCAAGACTGCTCACAGTCCTGGTGAACGGTCAGAAGGAATGCAATGGGAACTTAATCTACTTAGAGACAGCAAATGGATTTGGGGCTGTCACTTTTATCCACAGCCTTCTGCAAACCTAGCGCACAGAATCTAAGCTCTAATCCAAGTTTCAGCGGTTGGATTCTCACCTCTTGGTGCTGGAGACCCATCTCTCTGTGGAGAGTTTCCAGCCTCAGACAGACTAGGAAGAAAGGCCTGGGAATCAGCAACCATTGCTCATAGGGTTTCCATGGGTCAGGGGTCACCTTGAGATTTACCATAGTAAATATACCCCAGAGGGTCATTGTGCAAATTTAGTACGATAATACATATTAAGGGCTTAGCACAGGGCCTGGCACGTATGGAACATGCAAGAGCTTTGGGGTCTTACATTAGTCATAAGCACTCACTAAAATGAGATTTCTTCCTAGACAACTTCCACCAATGGTAGAGACCTTTTTAAAAAAATAAATAAAACATTTATTAAGTCTTAAATGGAAGAAGGACAAGACAGCTACAGAGACATATTTAGCTAGGGGAAACAATTAGCAGAAGGTCATAATCGTGTTTAAGAGTTTGCTGCGATACATCTCTTTAGAAAGGACAACGGAGGTCAAAGAAGATTGTTACATAAACCTGGTTAGTGGCAGATCAATATAACTGAGTTATCAGTAGAGCTCCTGAAGCAGGATTGAGGCCAGGATTGGAACACCTGCATTATGTAAGACAGAGGAGCTTACAATATTGGGCCAAAGGCTTCCCGGGAGCAGTGAGGGCATGGCTTGTGACCTGGAGACCCTCTATAACAGTGACCTCCGTCAAGGACACACTCAGGTAAGCCCAAGAGAAACTTAATTGCTTTTTTGAGGCCACTTTGTTCATAGAAACAAAGAGTGCACATGACACACACAATGAGGAACAAGACAGGAAGTAAACAACGCTCAAGCAAGCAAGTGCAACCAGGAGTTCTGGAGAGAGCCTGAGGATCTGTGGCATGATGGGAGGCTCCCACAGGGTCTGCCTACCCATCACTTCAGGGGCAGGAACTCCCAGCCGTACTGGACTCAGGGCAGATTCAAGTTTGCTGTCTGGAATTTTTTTTTTCCTCCCTGAATATCACTTTCTGGGATTTTTTTCCTGAATATTTTCCATTTGCTGTTGGTTGGATGCCCAGGTGCAGAACCTGTGGATACAGAGGGCTGACTATGTATCCTTTTTAGGCTTTGGTTTTAAAGGAAAAGACCACCATCTAGCTGCTTGAGAATCCTTAAGCATTCGGAAGTGAGGGAAGGGTGTCTTTGTATGTGTCGTGTTATTTTTCCTCTCAACCCAGAGAGTAGAGATGGACTTGTTTTATTGAGCAAAGCAGTGCTTTGGAGGCAGGAACACTTGAATAAAGGCTGAAAAGCTAAAACGGCTGCACAGTGCACTTGATGTCAGCGAGTTCGGAGGTTTTTTGAGCGAGAAAGCCAGTCCAATCAGAGCCACAAAGTGGTCTTGTTTTTTTCTTCCCTTGAAAAACATTCCACCACTCCTGCTAGGTGATAGTTACATGTGGTCAAAAATAAAGCCAAGCTTTGTGGAAATGGTTAAAACAAGCAGTACTTAATGTGTTTGGTTTCATGTATTGAGCCCCGAGTTCAAGTTCCCTCTTAGGAAGCCAGAGAGTACCTAACAAAGTGAAAGTGTAGAGTCCTGTTTAAAGGTGGTGAAGAATGAACAGAATTAGGTAGCTTACAAGCCCTGCTGACATAGTGGCGATGCATTGGGCTAACTGCAAGGCCAGCCGTTGGAAACCACCAGCTACTCTGAGGAAGAAAGACAGGGGCTTTCTACCCAAACAGTCTCTGAAACTCACAGAGGCAGTTCTACCTGTCCTGTAGGGTTTTTACGAGTCAGAATTTACTCCATGCTGGTGAGTTTGGGTTTTTTGTTTGTTTATTTTTGGAGGAGCCTTAGTGGCCATTGGGTTTCTAACCACAAAAAGTCCACATTTTTGAACCCACTAGCTGCTCATAGAGAGAAAGACAAGGTTTGCTACTCCAGTAAAGTGTTATAGCTTTGGAAACCCTAAGGCGCAGGTCTACTCTACGGGTGCTGAGTCAGAATTGATTCAATGGCCGTGGGTGTGGTGGGGTTAGTCCTATGATTTGGAATCCACTCCACGGCCATGGGAGAGTGAGGTAGGTGGTATGAAAGAGAGTGCTAGTGACCTCACAGTGAATCCTCTCTAACGTTAGTGGCTGTCACATACTTTGGACGTGTTCTCGGGATGAAGTCGAGGGTCAGCAAAAAAGAGGAAGACCCTCGTTAAGATGGAGTGACACAATGGCTGAAACAATGGGCTCCAACAGGAACAAATGTGAGGGTGGCACAGGCCCTGGCAGGGTTTTGTTCTGTTGGGCCTGGGTCAGAACCAATGGGATAGCATCTCCCAACGGCAGCGTTAGCAGCTCAAATCCGCCAGTCTCCAAGGGAGAAAGATGCTGCAGCCGGCTTCCATAAGTGGCAGAGAGTTAATTGACAGTGTTGGTGGTGGCAGGGGTAGTGACTGTACAACTAATTCTGGCCAATACCAGTGGGGATAGGGGTATCAGTGTAGTGTCCTAACATTAAATCTTGTCCGAATGTGTTAGGCATGAGAGAGGAGTGGGGGTGGAATTGGTGGGGCCGAGGGGAGGAATGACACAGAACCAGTGACCTAAGAATTGATCCTGTCCAATAGGTGCATGAAAAAGTCAGTGAGTTTATATTTAATTTGACCCAAAAGTGGTGGTAGAGATGAAGGGGCATGGGGAAAAAATCCAATATAATTCAATGACAAATGGAAAGTGTGCAAATGCAGCAAAGATCTTGAAGTCCAACAGTGGGCTGGTGGAGGGAAGGCATCCCGGAAGAGTCCTCTAGGCTGGAGAAGCTCCTGGCGTGGCGCGTGCGGCTAGACTCTGGCCGTTCCTGCACCTCCGCCCCCTTTCGCTCGCCCAGGACCCAGCTGGGGGCGTGGCTGGGCTGCGTGGCCCGGGAACCAGTCGGGAGGCGCCGGAGCCTC